CCGTTGCTCCGCCGGACCACCACTTGATGCCCTCACCTCCGCCTGATGCTCGAAATTTTGCCGGACCACCACCTGTGTCCCGAACTTCTGCAGAACTACCACTTGAGGCCCAGACTTCTCCCGGACCACCATCTAAGGTTCGAACTTCTGCCGGACCACCACTTGACGCCTGGACTTCTTTCGGGCCACCACTTGAAGCCCAGAGTTCTCCCAGAGTACTGCCCTTCTACCACGGTCTTTTGAACCCTTGTCTCATGCCGGCTATGGTCCTTTCGACTTCCATCATCTAACGAAGCTCTTTCTGATCCTTGTCTCCTGTCGACTACGGTCCTTCTAATCTCCTTCGCCTACTATGGTCCTTCCGACCTACATCTCTAGACAACGGTCTTTCTAACCCCGGTCTCCTGCCAACTATGGTCTTCCGGACGCCTGTCTCGTGTTGACTATGGCCCTTCAAATCAAACAAACATATCTATGTTGATTATTGTAACTTCCATCATGTAATGAGCTCTATATGATGTATATTTGTACCGTCAAGCCAAGGCCTTCTCCCAAGGAAGGGTCTCATTTGTAATTGACTGCAAATACTAGTGGATTCATTAAAATTGGGCCATACCCCGTGGTTTTTCCCCCTTTTTTCAGGGGTTTCCACGTAAAAATCTTGGTGTCTCTTATAAATGCAACACCCTCTCTCTTATCTGCTTGTATGCTGGATCTTCGTATAATACTAAGACATTAAATTATATATTTCTCTACCGCCGCGAATACTCCAGGACGCAACAATCATGATGTTTTCCTCTTCAAAATCTTAATAACTGGATGGAGCTTATAAATGTTTAAAGGACGTTTTTTTCTACTGGTTTGTATAACATATTGTATGGCAAACCTTCAGCTTCTGGATAAAATGGATATTGACATTTATTACTAATTGCACTGGATTATAAAAACAATGTCTGTTGAAAAGAATTCCTCTTCTTTGGCTCAACCGAATTTAACATTGCTTGTCTATATACTGAATTTCCTGACTTGTGGCGGATTTCTAGGATTATTTCTGAGATCATTCCCCATCACCCTGGCTACTCGGTGCACTCAAATGAAATGCTTCAGCACAAGAAGGTATTAATCTTCCATCTTGTTATCTTCTTTTGCTGCTAAATTACCTCTTTTCCAGTTACTCGTAAGAATTTTCGCTTGCTTAAATTTTATCCTGTATTTTCCAAATAATAAAGAGTAGTTAAAACTCTTTACTACAAATTATTTGAATGAAGCATTAAGAATTCTTTGAATCCAGCACCAAATGATTTGTTTTCGTTTTGAATCATTTCAATGGAAAATACTAAATAGTCAATATGCAGAAGGTAGCAGACAGACTCTTATCATCATTCTTTGTGTCTCGTTGTGAAAGACCTCAAATAAAACTTAAGATTTGTCAAATTTTATCCGTTTAATAAACAATATAAGAATGCCACCACCATCTTTTTTTTGGAAAAAATATACATCACCAACTGTGTTCAAACTTAAAAAAAATAAATAAATAACAAACCCAAGTAGGAGCATAGTTCGACTTTACGAGTCCTTAATTTTTATTCATTATCATTAAATGATAAATGAGGTATTAAATTTATTCTTTATAAATGTTGGACAACTTCATTTGATGTTATTTTAGGTCTACATTTTTTTTTCTATTCTTTCCACATTAGTTTTATCTACTTATCTAACATGTGCTTTTTATAGCCTTTATTTTACATGTTTGAATATGCTTGACTCTATTTTTATATATCTTTTCTTCAATATGTATCACTCCAACCATCCTTCTAATGTAATCATTCCTTAATTAATCCTTTATAGTTTAACCATACATCCATCTTAACAATCTTGTTTCCACAATGCTCAACTTAGCTATATGGACGACTTTTACTGATAGCAAATCCATACAACAAAGTTAGTGATTTAGGGCATAGGGCATCTTAGGGTCTGCAACTCCTAATTCAATTAAATGATGCATGGGATGAAAATCACACAATTGTATTTGAAATTTCTAAATTCAAAGACCTTCAATTAAAAGAATAGCTCATCTTTTTTTTTTTTATGCAAACACGAAAAAAACTAGAAATCTACATCAAATGACAGTTTAATTAATGTTCACCATATTCAAAGAAATAATTGAATTTATTATGCAGATCATTCAAGTCAAAAGTTCTTTTCCCCTCACGAGCACGCTTCCTCAGCTTCATCTTGTGAACAACTCTATCACTTTCGCCGCGCTTCTGCATTTCTAGGATCTTGGTAGCAACCTTATTGCCGTGAATTTGCTCCATTTTGCGAGCATGATCCCTAGCGTCACTCCTGTTAGTAGATTTGTTGCTCAGCCTAATTCCAACAAGCGGCTTTGCTGCTTTCCTTCGCTTCCTATCCCTTGAGTTTGCCTGTATGAGGTCTTTGGCTCGTATCTTTGGATTGGATTTTCCAACATCAGTGCCTACGTCTATGCTTGTTGAGTCTTTTAGAGCTTTGGCACGACTCACTTTTTCACTCGTTGACCACCACTCTCCACTGTGGATAGTGTTCTCTTTTCCTCGTTCTAGATTTTTTCCCGCTCATGTTCTGATCTTTTTGGGATGCTCTTCTTGGTTGTCACTTTCTTTACTCCCCAATACTCAATCATCTCCATCCTTGACACGTCCTACAATTATGACAGTTCCCTTTGTGCCACAGTCACCACCATCTATTTCAATTGATCTGATCATTTTAGAGTTTCCTTCAAATATTGTATGAACCACTTGTTCTTTTGCAAAATGTGGTGTTTCGATTGTCAGTTTCCGGTTTGCTCCTTTCATTTTTTACTCAATTGCCTTTATTTTTTCATCAAGACTTAGTTACATCATTTCATGATCAAGCTTCTATATTTCAAGGCAAATCTGCTCTTAGTTTCACTGTTAATGAGATTTGTGAACTTACTCGACCATATTCTTACTTAGTTGTTGGAAAATTCTTATTGGATCATCCCAACTTGGATTTTATTCATAAATTCATATTAGATCTTCAATTGGTTGTTGAATATTTATTTCCACTCATTGATTATCGCCTTATCATTATCATACTGTCTATAGATTTATATTACATCAAAATCTTCTCTTGTTGTTCCAATTATGTAGTGGTTATTTAACGTGAATGTTGAAGTAATCACACTATTTTAGCGCTTATGATGAACCCTTTATTATGCCTATGTAGTTGGTTTTTTCCTTTGTTGCATTTACATTACTTTAATCAATCAGCTCTAGACTTTTTTGGATCTATTTTTGATAAAAATTTGCTAGTTAATGATGCGATTGGTAATCTTTCAAAGCCATCAGTGGCCAAGGTTTTGGTTTTGGTGAAAATGAATGTTACTTCTCTACTTCAAATGAGGTGTGGATAGGCACATCTTCTTGTAGTTATTGAGCGAAGGTTGAATTTGAGGGCATCCCCCAATATTGCTTAAAGAAATAAAAAGTTCGGGATCAAGAGATATGATCAAATGATATAATCATTCATTCTCCTATAATAGTTTTTGCTCCTTTACTAGCTTGGGTTTGCACTCAGAGTTAGAGTCAAATTGATTCTCTACGAGGTGAAATTGTTGTGCCTACCCCAAGTAGTACTATAGTTGTATTATTTACTCTTAGTAATAATACATTGGATATTGATATTTCTAATTTGAAAGTTCATCATATTCCTCATATTGGTGAAATCTCTAATGATCTTGATTGAAAATGTCCTCTTGATTTTTATGGGAGCTTACTAAGTGACGACGCACTATCGGATAAGAGTTTTCATATCTTATTCACTATATGTTGCCATAACTAGAAAGTGAACTACTGATACGTTTTGGAGACAAAAACAACTAACACAATGAAAAAAACTACAGGAATATGAATATAGATGGCTGATTTTTTATTATAACTTCAATAAAAAAGAAAGATACATGCGATCTACAATTCGAGAGGTAGATTGACTCTCCCAAACAACTTGCACAACACTAGAAAGCCCTCACGAAAAGAAAACTACAACAACTCTTAAATAAAATTCAGCATATACAAAACAAATCATAAACTTAGCCTTAAATAAGCTTCTCCTATTTCCCTCCTAATCAACTCCCCCTACCTCCTTTCCTAATATCTTTCTCTCTAATTTGTTCAAGTAGGAAATCCTTCATAATTAATCTTTTCCTAAATCAGCCCCCCTTTCTTAATATATTTCCCTCCCCAATTTGAATTTCAATTAGGAAATCATTCCTAATTAATCTATTCCTTAATTCCTCTTCTCACATATGTAATAATAGTGTTGACCTCCACATATTTGCCAAATCAGCGTGAATGAAGGCGACGTAAGTAACGGTCAAGTAGTGTGACACGTTACTAAAGGTCTTAAACGACCTCTGATCATCAAATGTACTGTACCATTGCGATCAAAACATTGAATTCATCCGAGGGAGGACCCCTCACAGTCCAATCGAGCAGAATGATCAAAATCAATGATCGACACCCGAAAATGATGCGTGATGCTGTTCAAACGACGTATGACCGCAAAATGGACTTTTCCATTGCATTCAAAACGCCAACAATACCAAAAAATGATTGTAATTTTGCTCAATAAAATTTGCGCTGTGAAATCAACGCCGATCCTGTGGCCACAATGTGTGGATTTTGAGGAAAAGCACACGGATTGAGATAAATTTTGTTATATTGTATTTTGGTTGTTTATTTTTATTATTATTAAAATAAGACTAAAAAATGCATCTTATCCCTACAAATCTTGCTCAAATTCCACTCAAATTCCGAGCATTCGATCGCCGATGCCCTGTAGATCGGAGACGAACTCCCACGACTCTGCCAGATATCGTGCTCGAATCCTGTAGCTCTCACCTCGATCGTGCTTCTACCTGCATCGATAAAACAAGAACGAACAAGTCTTTCACTATTTTGCTTCCTCATGCTCAAACTCCAGATGCTCGACACCTCCCTAGAAGCTGCAGCCTTTCCTCCGCATACGAATAGCAAACCGACCACAACAGCTCCACAAACCGTAGCTTTCCCTCGCCATATGAACCAAGTCCTCTTATTGGACCGATCTCCCATAGTCGAACATTCATTATGTTATTGTATTCTAGAGTTATTTAAGGGGGAGTTTGTGTATGGTTTAGTAATGATATTTCTAAGTTTATTTTTCTAGTGTTTGCTGCAAGTTTCTAGCGGGCCTAGGGTTTGTGGGAGAGCTGATCTTCCTCTCAAATAATAAATGAATTATATCTTGCTTTATTATTAAAAAATAAATGAAAAATCATCCTTATCTTTGTGTTCCTATATTGTCATTATCTTTTATATGTTGTTTTTACGTCCAAGGCACATCAATTAACATTCAAATAATGGGTTCATCATTATGATTTTATTCAACTGCAGATTAATATACATGAAAGTGATTTATTTCCAATGATGTGAAACGTATTAGCATGGATGATTAAACTAAGAAAGTTTGCACGCTTAAATTTTAGAGCACAATAATTATAAGCTTTCTCTTGATGATAAACGACAAAATAAAAATGATAAGGTGATAAAATAGCTTAGGTCTAAACACATGCGAGAGGTTGAGATTATTAAATAGTCAACTAAAGGACCACCCATAAGGGTATAAAGGGAAAAACAACAATTTAAAATAAACTAGTACAAAAAACATATAAATAACTAAAAAAATCGTAGCCGTTGATCTGCGATGTCCTCATCATCCAATTTTTTAATTTGCTTATGCACTTGATTAATGTCTTCCCTCTTTTGATCTTATTCAACAATCCAGCTAATTCATTTTGAAAAGAGAAATGGACCAAAATGATCCCTCAACTCTTTGTGAGGGCCAAAATAGATCCCAACAATTTTGAGGGACCAATTTGGTCCCTCTAACTCCTCCAAATGGGACTATTTTGGTCATGCCATCAATTTTAAATGGAAAAATGAGATGGGCAAGAGGGTATCATCGGAACAAGCAAAGAAGAAACGCACAAACGGAAGAAAGATGGCTACCTTGGCAACGAGCAAGCTCCTGTTGTCATTGTCGTTACTTTTAATCACAGTTGTTTTGGCCGA